GGGGGGGGGCTAAGTTTTGTAAACAGTTGGGCACATCTGTTGGCGGTAGTACATCCTGTGTGCAAGACTGCCCCATCCCCAGTTGTGAGCCTCCGCTTCTGGCTCGTCTCGTTCACCTGTTGCTGTTTCATTATCGCCTACCCCGTTGGGTACGGCCTCGTTGGTAATGGCAAATCCGTTTCGTCTGCGCGGACCTCGTCGCTAGTGCAGCTTATGTGTCAGGATGCTGCTGTCTTTGCGGCTCTGAACTGCTGAGCCTCGTCGATTCTGTAACACAAAGACTAATTGCCTCTGCACCGATTGTCTCTGCACTTATTCCGTCCACTCGCATACTCCACACTTCTGAATTCGAGCAGCTTCAGCGAATGACTGGATTAGTTATGTGCCCCAAATTCAGTTCGACTCCACACAGCCTTCTGTCTTCCAGCTGTGCTGGGCATCACGGTTTCGTTCATCCGCCTCCTGCTTGCGCTCAGGAGTATCTGCACTGCATTCAACATCAGGTGGTTTTCTGTTGCCGAAGTGGGTTGCTGATAAGTGTCGTTCTTCGCTGTTCGGCATGACTCAGCTTCGTACCACACTTGTTATCACCTGTACGATGTTGTTGCTGCGATAGGAAAGCATCGTGGCTCTGCTGGGTTAACTGGTCGGGTCGAGTTCTGGTACGACCCTCAGAACCTGCTTCCGATGCTAACGTCGCTCCCTTGCCCTTTCTCCGTTTCTAAAGTTTTGACTATGCAGTTTCAAGGTAAACCGACCCCTCCATCCTCATCGACAGTGGGAGCAGGCCTTCAGCCCTTTTGAGTGCAGGTTTTGCTCGTCGTGGGTTTGGTACAGCGTTATTTTTTTGCGGAATATATTCCGAATTCGGAATAAAAAAATGTTCGTGGTCCTGAAAGTTAAAAATAAATAATGTTCCAACCGTACAAGTTCATTCCTCCAGCCAAAAATGGACTGTCCATGCCAAAGCCGCTAGAATTTTACAGGAGACATATATGTTACCCATATCATAGTACTTTAATGCCATGGATACTGTTAGGAAGCTCACGCCCGAAAGTCAACGAGGAATCGGACTGTTTCTGACCGGACCAAACGCTGCAAAACATTCGGAACCGAAGCTCCCAAAGCATTGAAGGCCATTAAAGCAGATATTAAATTTCACTGAAGCCATTAGCGACGTTAATGAAGACGGTGTAGGGGTCGTAGGCAATGTGGACGTCATGCTGCAGCCAGCCG